GCACCGATGAAGTTAAACGTGCACAGAGGCAGAGACTAAATTTCAATATAACCTCCTGCAGGGTTCACGCGGATTTCCTTATTATGAAAAGCAGAATCGATGATTTGTCTTAACACGTATTAAACAGAACCAGCGGGTTTCCGTCATGTTCTTTCGTCCAATTTTACACCTCCTGAGAGGCCTGCTAGTAATTTGATCTTTTCCTTTAAAGCTCAGTTTTGTGGGTTGAAGGAACTTTGCAGTTTATTCATTTAGTTCAGCAAAGTTGAAATTTTGCAGCAGTCTGAAAATTAAGAATACATTTAATAAGTAATGACTAATCAACACAGTTCCTATATGACCTTTCATGGTGCATATACTGCTAGTATGTGAAGGGCAAAAGGTGAATGTATTGCTTCTGTTCTATGTAGTAATATATTCATCAGCACAACTGTAACCAGTATACAGTGAATAGGAAGCAGAAGTAAGTGGATGGATGGGTTATGGCTTCTATCCCCTGGCATCCATTGTTCAGTGTGTCAGATTTACATGTTTCAAAGAATAGCTTGACATTGTGTGAAATCAGAAGATTCATAACTACATCTATGTCCAGCTGCTTCTCGTAATATTTCTGAGCTGTCAGCCTCAACAAGGCCTCAGTTCTGTTTCAGGTTGGAACTCGACAGCCTATCTGTAGATTCCTCTGTGGTCTCTGCTCAGGTTTGGCAACACCTTGTGCTGCTAAAATTGGTTTTACAGCCTTTGGTTTGTTCTTGTTTTTCTCCTCGCGTAACATAGGAGTGATTTCAAACCCGTTCAAACCCCTGAAAATAAACTGAGGCTTGTGTAAGGTTTGAGTGGAAAGACATGTAATGCCTGGATGGTTAAACTTTAAACACTGTCTTATTGATAGGCTCTCTCTGCGCTGTCCTCAGTCTTCCTTCCTTCCTGTCTGCTCTCCTCAGTTATTATCATATGATGCCTGTTTAATTTTGAGCCTCCATGACATGGAGGCTCAAAATTAAACAGGCAATGACATGGAGTCCATGTCATAAATAGGAGGATTTAAGTATGTTTGTTGCATAACTAGTGCGGGCGGGTCACCGCACATTGACCAGCCTATCTCCTGATCAGATCATTTTACTATAGAGGATCAGCTGTACATGTCCCTTCCCCCCACGCCTGCTCTTATTTCATACCTCTAAACTTGCTGTGTCTATTGCCAAACATTTCACAACTCTATTCCCCGGGACCTAAGCACCCTCCAAGTAAACTCACTGACTGAACAAGAAGAGGCCAGAAAAAAATGGTGGGAGGTATGAAACTACAATTCAAGAAGCAGACTGATGGGTGTTAAAGGTCATTAGCTGCCACGAGACGGAAAATTGCATAAGTGCCTGACAGAGTCCCACAGATCTGCTTTTGACCAGGATTTTGACTCGTACCTGTTCCTTTAAATATACAGTTAATGCACATTTGAATTACTTTATCATATCGACCACAGTCCACTACCCCGTTTGTATTTGTAACTCTAAAAATCACAAAGTAATGCATCATATCCTGTTGGGGGATGTTGTTCAGTCCCACATGCACTGACCCAGTTGGCTGCTGGTGATAGATGAGGGGTTTTTATTTTTTTTATTTTTTTTGAGGCATTGTGAAAATCAAACCAATATTTGGTAATTTGTGAGTTTCAGAGACCCCTCTCTCAGCTCCATATTTAAAAGTTGACGTCAGTCTCACCTGACAATGAACAGTCCATTTACCTTTGTAATATATTTTAAAGAAAATGTATATTGCAACATTTCTTAATGAACATATGGTTAGGTCCATTGCTGTTTGGAAAATTAAAAGTTTATTCTATTTGATTTTTGTTTAAAAAAAAACAAAACAAGAAATGGATTTTAAATCAGGCAAAATGGTTTGAGGGAATTATTGTAAAAGTAATTGGACTAACAAGAGGTTTCATCACCAGTTGAGGACTGGTCCCCCATTATTTTTATTCTAAAGTCAGCAGGTAAAGGTGATTCAGTTCAGTTGATTACCAGTGTAGAACTATTTGGTTGCTTTTTACTGATGCAAGTGAACGAACACATCATTAGGCTGGGGGAAAAAAACCCTAAAACCCAGGACGGGTCAAATCTACAGTCTGGTACATTCTTGAAAAGCTACAGAATGATCGCAGAATTATTTCCGTGGTTAAGGAAAACAATATCCAGCCAAGTCAAGAACTCTCTCGTGCTATTATCAAAGTCTACAATCAAGAGACCGTTTCATGAATGGAAATGCAGAGGGGTTTCAGCAAGGTGGAAATCGGAGGTTAAGAACAAGATTAGAGTTGCCAGAAAACATCAAAAAGAGCCTGCAGAGTTCTGAAATGGAAACAGCTAGGGTTAGTTACTGCTATGTTTCTGTTAAATTAAGGAATTGAATTGAAACTGAAAGCCTTAATTTCACTCACAAATCCACTGAGTTGGTGTAAACAGGCAACATTACAGAAACTGTGTCATTATAGTGTTTCTCACTTTCTGTCTGACATTCAGTGAGATCGCTCGCTGCTGTTGTCATGCAAAAACAAAGGGTTGGTTGATAATCAAAATCCATGGATTTCTTTGTTTAGCAACATGAAACTAAAACATAGACCCCCTAAAACAGAACCCATAAAACCCTTTACCCAAAACCCCGTGGGGTAAAACAGAGGAAACTCTGTTTATTATAGCTGCGGCATCTCTGCTGGCTTTTCAAGTTTGTCTTAAGTCTGCTTTTTCCTGCAGGCAGGTCTGAGGCTGCCTTTGGCTCAGTGGCAGTTGCTTATTGTTGAACTCTGTGCAGGTGAGGCACTAGCGACAAATGCATGCAGGCATTTTTCTGAGCCTTAACTACACACACATTTCTCTCTGCAAAACGTGTCTAACAAAGATGTGTGTGTTTGCCAGGTGGAACCTGCAGGCAGAGCAGCAGTGACCACTGTGGAGAGATTTGACAGGGTGGGGGTGGTTTTCATTGATGTGCAGCCAATATCGCCTTTCAGTGTGGATCACATAGATCTGAATGGGAATATATCTCCTCTAATATATTCACAATTAGCAGTTTGGCATGCATCTTCCAATATTATAGGAATCCTTTTTCTCCAGGATTTGACTGTTCAGGAAAATCCATGTATATAAACACATCCAACATGCCTAACCAGAGTTAAAACTGTACCTGTGGCCCTGAGAACTCAAAGGAAAAACAAAAGCAATCAGCACAAACGTGCATGTGTGCAACTTTGCACATGGGCATCTAACCC